TTTTTAAGACCAGGAGTCCAGTTCCCATTTAGAGACTGTATTTTTTTAATAGCTCCATGAAAATTGAACAAAACATTTCTTGTTGCTCTTATTTCTTGATAATATCATTCTGCCTGCACTGATGTATAGAATCTCAGAAACTAGAGAGTGGAAAAGATGTATTAGATCATGTCTAGCCTGTTCCCACAGGTCACGATTCTTTTTTCCCACAGTCTCTCCTCTAGCACTTTTCTCTTCCAGTTTTCTCAAGAATTTGTTTTCTCCATTTCTCTTGGGGAATAATTTTTTAGTTTGACCATGAAGGAATTTGTGTGGAAATATTCATATTCTTTTTTTTTTAAGCTGAATATTCCTAGTCTTCATAACCCTTTACATTACCATAAACAGTCTTTCTCCTTCCTGGGTCAAGTATTTCTGGATGGTATTTTTTTCCCCTTCCATTTATTAAGTCCAGGGTTTGTTTTTCTGCTTTGCTTTCTCTCTTCATCAATCAGTCCCTAAAGCCCATTAATCATTTTTTACTGCACTGAAAACTCCATTGCTTATTCCCATATCAGGAACCCAGAGCTGGTTAAGGTCCCTAGGTACTGGAGGAAGCCTCACTAACGTGTACTAATACTATGCTGACCTCTCTCTCTCAAACTCAATTCTCAACTAGAAACTATTTTTAAAGTAGTGTTTCTAAATTTTGATTTAGGAAGTTAGTTATTTTTTGTGTGTGCATGATTTTTAGTGATAAGATTATACTTGACTTCAGTTACTTAGATACTTTTGTACCCTCGGAGCTACAAATCTTTTGGGTCTCCTCCTGAGTGCTTGGATTAAGTACAATTCTTGAGCATGGAACTGTGATGTGGAATTCTATTTTAGGGCTATTATCTTAGAAATCTAAGAGTGGAACCTATGTACCTATGTATTTGTAGGATTTGGACCTGGGGAAAGAAAAGGGCAAAACTTAAGTAGTCTTGGTGATCTAAAATAGATTAGTTCTCAGGAGTTATTGTTAAGTATAAACACTCAATATACTATATAGTTTTCTGGATTGAAGAACTCTTTTACAAAGATGATGGATGTTGAGGCCAGTCAGTTGCATGATAGTTAAGGCAAGTGGATCCTGCATGACTGACTGTGCAGTTCAAGTCCCAGACCTAGTGATTTGAAAAATATGCCAGGCACCTGCATGTGTATAGCCAAAGTCTCAAGAGGAGAACAGAAAGAAGGGGTTGTGGCATGGCCATCCCACTCTAGGGTGGGGGTGCCTTTTCAGTTTCCCTCCTTCTCTCCATCTATTTGTCTCTCACTTTCTCTGTCTCTGGTGGACACACACAGTATATAGCAAATTAAAAACCAACAACAACAATGAAAAAGGATGGGAGGGGCAGGTGATGTGGTGGTTAAAGGCATTGTACTCCCACATGGACAACCACAGTTCGAGTCCCAAACCTGGCAGCTTGCTCTTTCTGGTCAAAATTGAAAAATAATGATAATCAAGAAATAATTCTTTAAAAAAAAAAAAGGAGAAGAAGAAAAATTATGGGGGCAATCAGGTGGTGTGGTGAAGGTTCCAGATTCCTACATGGTTGACCATAGTTCCAGTCCCACACCTGGTGGCTGGAAAATCACCTATGGCACATGTGCCTGTGTGCCCAAAATTCCAACAAGAGAACAGAGAGGAAGGGACTGTGGCATGACCATTCCCTGGTGGTGGAGGGGTGATTTTTCACTTTCTCTCCATCTCTCCAGCAACTGCATGAGCCATATGGCAAAAATATAGAAACAAAAACAAACACAAAGCTGTTGGCCCTCCCACAAAACAGTGTAGACTCAATGTAATCTCAGTCAAAAAACCCAACAGATTCTTTTCTCTTGGTATTTGATGAGTTAATTCTTTTTTAAAAAATTTATTCATTTATTATTTTTTATTTGCTATAGGGCACATGCACTTATCAGAGAGAGACAGAGAGGGAGGGAAAGTGAGAAAGCAAGCTGCCAGGTCTGGGACTCGAACCACAGTCTGCCATATGGGAATCCAGCACCTTAACCACCATGCCACTTGCCAGTTCCAATGAGTTAACTCTAAGATATATTATAAAATATAAAGGGCCAAGGTGTGTGTAAGATAGTCTTAGAGAAAAAAGAAGGTGGAAAGATTCATTCCACCAGATCCCAATACTTACTGCAAAAGCAAACGAGTCCCAGCCATGGTGCCACAGTAGCACTGTTACATCGTGTGGGTAGGCTCCAGGTTCATGTTCCAGGTTGGCCTGAGTAAGCCAAGTGACCCTATGATCCTGGCTGGTATAGGACTTGGAGGAGGAGACCCTGTGGAGGGTCCCTCTCTCCTCCTCAATAAATTAATAAACTTAAAAAATGATAAAGCAATGTGTTAGTGGCATAGATTTACACAAATAGACTAATGGGACAAAATTGAAAGACCAGATCATTACCAGATTCATCACATAGGAATCCATGGTTTTTGACAGAGATAACATTCTGAATCAGTGGGAAAAGGATGATCTTTTCAATAAATGGTATTGGAACTACCCAACATCTACATGGGAGGGGGTAAAAAATGATACCGTTACACCATAATTTTAAAATTCCAAATGGATACTGACCTAAATGTGAAAGAAAATCTTTAAACACACACACATGCGTGCACGCGCGCACACACACACACACACACACACTTTATATAAGTATATATGTAATGTATCTTCATGACGCCATGGCATTAAAGATTTCTTCTGTGACATTAAAATCAGCAATCATAATGAAAGAATTACCCACCCCATTAGGTAGTATGGACCTTGGAGGTGCACTGTTCAGATCTCCCTTTAGAGAAACTCACATTTATTTCCACGGAATGCTGTTGCATGACTGCCTTCAGCTGCCTTTAGGTCATGCTTGTCCTGGGCAGACCTAGCCAATGACTGAGCACATGGGGGTGTGAGTGCCTAGACATTTCTGCCTAGTTTGGAGACCTCTCTAATGGGAAATCTTTGTTCCAGAACTCCCCACTGGGCTAGCCAACCCTTCTGTCTGATCTGCTTCATGGTCTGAATTCTCCCTCTCTAATGTATTTTCCACTCCCCTTACCAAAAATATCTGTAGTCAAAAGGTACGTATGTGATTGGAAAACTAAAACCCCCTAAAAAAAAAAAATAAAAACCCCTCTTCATTCAATAGATAACATAGAGAGAAGATAAAGAGTCACATGATGAGAGAATATTTGTTCTACATGTAATTGCCAAAATATTAATATCTAGAATATATATAAATTAGAATATATATAAATTTTTAACAAAAGACAACTCAGTCTGAGAAAAATAATAGGCAAAATAACTTAAGTTCTTTACAGAAGAGGAAGAGC